GAAGATGTCTGGTCTAATTAGCATATTACCCTTTTATTCGTATAGATAATTTAGCCCCTTATGTTATTTTTATGGTTGAAAATCCGAGGAAGCATTCTCGCTGAAATTCTATTTATCGGTAAGTATAAATTTGTATGAACATATTACACACCCTGGTTTGGAAACATGATAGTTAAGGTGTCTATTCGCTAAACCAAGTCAATTAAGTTGTCAGCTCATTCTCAGGCGCTCACAAGAGAAAGCTAGCCAGAAATTTAAATCTGGGAATCGGCAGCACACAGCAGCACGATAAACCCAGGGCTGAATATGGTCGTGGAGGAGAAAAGGGTCAAGAGATGCAGCCAATAAGATAAGAAGGAGAGAACCATGAGAACTTCACCTCAAAGTGGTTCAAGGCCAGGATGGTCAACTGCCCTGAAGGGTAGTAATAGGCCAGAGGCAACCAGGTAAGACTTCCCAATTGCCAGCTTTCAGGAATGCTTTCCCTGGACCTGTCTTCCATGGGGGTTGGGAGGGGGGGGTGCAGAATTCTATCAGAACGTGACACTTCTGAATTCTATAACCAGCTAATAGGGAAAAGTCACTTCATCTCCAGAGTTGCTGATGATTTCCTAAGTAAAGACGTAACGGTGACTGAGGCCACATGAAGGCAGCAGCCCCCAGACAAGGCAGCAATGGAACCTGATTTCAGTGGCCTCCACCCACCACACAGAGCCCAGGGGCAGGGGGAAGGAGAGAGCCACGCCTATTCCCGCCCTGGCGGTCAAGGGGAATGGCATTCAACACGCACACTACTTTGTCCCCTACGGCAGCATGCATCCAAAATACGTGAAATGAAACCTTACCTGGGCGGCGACTGCATCAACAGGGAACTTAAGAAGCAGTTTAAGGAGTAGAAAAGTAGGGTAGCCAGGCCTTCCTTCTCTCGAACCTGACCCCAACCACAACCATCATTCTAGGTCAGCGGTTCTCAACCTGTGGGCCCTTTGGGGGTCGAACGACCCTTTCACAGGGGTCGCCTAAGACCATCGGAAAACACATCTATAATGACATAATGTTTTTGTGATGAATCACTATGCTTAAATGATGTTCAATTGGTAACAATGAAATCGGGGGTCACCACAACATGAGGAACTGTATTCAAGGGTCGCGGCACTAGGAAGGTTGAGAACCACTGCTCTAGGTGAAATTCAGGCTACAAGTCCAGCAGGCTACAAGTCCAGTAAGTCACTTCTTCCCAGATGGGAAGGTCAACATCAAGGCATTCTCTGCTGCTACCGGTTGTGGTGAAATAGACAGTCCGTGTATTTGCTAGCTGGCATGAAAGCGGGTACCACACTTTTGGAAAGCATTTGGCAACATGACTCAAGAGCTTGTATTTATTTATTTTTATTTTTATTTTTTTTTTAATTCATTTCACAGAGGAAGGAAGAGGGAGAGAGAGACAGAAACATCAATGATGAGAGAGAATCATTGATGGGCTGCCTCCTGCACGCCCCCCAACTGGGGATCGAGCCCGCAACCCGGGCATCTGCCCTTGACTGGAATCGAACCTGGAACCTCCCAAACCGACCAGGGAGATTTAAGAGCTTTTAAAACTGTTTCTGTTTCTTCAGAGATCTAATACTATTTCTGGAACTCTAAAGGAATTAGTCTGCAATTAGGAGGAAAAGGAAAAAAAAACCCTTTGGGTTCAGTGAAAGCATTACTCATTATACAAAATCACTTTACACCATGTAAATAGCCATTTAAAAGAAAATAGGTAAATTACAGTGAAATATGCAACTAATGAAATTCTGAGCCGTTTTTTTAAAAGCACAGCAAATGCAAAACATACCATGTGAACACGGCAAAGAAATGCACAGAGTATCATCAAATGCATATATAAATACATGAAAATAAAAGGAAACATTTTTTTAAAGGCGATGCAAACTGTGAAGAGAAACGAAAAGCAAATTGACTATAGAGTTAGTCTGATTGAGCAAGATGGGAAGGTATAAATTCAGGAACGATCAAGGTTCAAGGTTCTCAAGGTAGAAGATCTACCAGAATACTGTGGGCTGGGGGAAGTTCTGTAAAAAATCAATAAAAATATATATTTTTTAAAAATGGGGATAGAGATATAGTGTCGAGCAGAGTTAGCAAAAAGCCATCGCCTGCAAGTTCAAATGCCACCTTATACTGTTCTTTTCTCCCTGTCATTCCTGCCACCTTCTGGTGTACGGAATGACATTCCGACCAACTGAGCCACACCGGCCAGGGCTCAAGAGCATGAATTTAGAAAACACGAAACAGACGATCAAAGCCAATTGGCTTTAGACTTCTGATGGTGTCCTGTTGCAATCCCTAATGACAACGTGCCTCCCTATATATTTGTCATTAAACCACCAGGAAATAATTCGCCTTCTCCGTATCCAACCAACTGAGCCACACCGGCCAGAGCTCAAGAGCATGAATTTAGAAAACATGAAACAGACGATCAAAGCCAATTGGCTTTTAGACTTCTGAAGGTGTCCTGTTGCAATCCCTAATGGCAACGTGCCTCCCTATCTATTTGTTATTAAACCACCAGGAAATAATTCGCCTTCTCCATACACTCTAATGCAGTGTTCTCAACCTTCTGGCCCTTTAAATACAGTTCCTCATGTGGTGACCAAACCATAACATTATTTTC